GCGCACCCATAACAAGTCCCTTTCCGCTTTATCGAAAGGGCAGATTTATCCGCGCCCGAGAGGCGGCGGCGGATGGGAAGGCCTCGGGAAATGTGAAAGCCGGGCGGTGGCGATTCAATTTCATAAATTTGCCCCGAAGAAGCCATTTATTACAGCGATCGTACGCGGCGAAACGCGCGACGAAGGCAATTTGGATCGCCTTTAGTGGGATTGATTTTGCAAAGGACAAACTTTCTCTTTCTCGCGCGCGCGATATTAGGATTTTGCGGTGGCGGAGCGGGCATTTGCCCGCGATTTGTGATTACGAGGTGCGACAGTAAGTGTTTTTACGCGCCAATCTCACCGCTAATGCAGACAAGCCGCCGATATTTATGATCAATGTGTTTCTTCCTTTTTCTCTCCCTCAAAATCTGCCGGAAAAGAAAGATCTCTTGCGCATACCGTATAAATTTCAAGCGCGCAGCGCGCCACCATGCATTATGCAACTGTATGCAGCTTGAATGGGAAAGAGAGACGGCGAGGCAAAAATCCCTCTCATTTTTTCTTACAGCGAATACATGAATTTCCCGGCGTTCTCCGAGATGTCGAAAAAGTATCGCGCGAGATCTCGTTTATTCTTCGTTTTTTTTTTCCATCTGACCGGTGTAACACTTTTATTCCAACAAGAAGACGAGGCCGCGAGGGAGAGGGAAAGAGGGGGAAGATGAAAAGTAGGTCGTGCAGTCGATGGCAGGAAATTATTTGAAAAGGGAGAAAATATAGGGAGGAAAGCCGCCTGCCGCGCGCGCGATTGCTAGCGCCTGTCGAAGAGATGAATTTTCGCCAACGTTCGAAGGATAAGCGCATACGATCGCGGTGAAGGACGCAACCGCGAGACATTTCGACGAGCCTCTATTTCTTATCGATGAGTCACATTGCCGAGACTAATTTTTTAGGCAATTTTAAAACCGGAATTAACCTTGATGCTGTAAAGAGCCTCGTCGCGATCGCGATAATTGTCGATAAAATTTTGAACTTGGAGGAATGATAAACTAAAGAGAACCGAGTCACTGAGCGCATTATCAGTCCGTAATTTATCACAAATAATATACAATATTAAATATAGAGTCGAAAATCTCTCGAGATCAAAGACCCCACGGCAACTACCGACATCCATCTTTCAATGATTACTCAGGGTCTATTCAGCGGCGCTTATGGTCACCGTAATGAGTTTGATGTGGTCGTACAGCTACAATTACTGCAGGCTACGAAGGTTGATAATTATTATTATGATCTACGAATGGTCGTTGAGCAAGAATCAAACACAAATGAACGAGAGGTCAAAGCAGTGATTAAATAGACAAATTTTCATTGATTCTCTCAATTTTTTCCACTCTTAATAAAGACACCAAAGTATGTATGACGAGAATATATGTATTATTTCAGTAGGATATGCATCAAACTCCATTTGAAAATGATCAGTGATATCGTAATCACATCATTGTATCATAGAATTCGAGTATCTGGCTACTCACTAGTAGTAAATGTATTTTTCAATACAGAAATATAATGTAGTGCCAGGTAGAACGTTAAATGTTAATTGAAGACTTAAAAAAAGCTTTACAAGAGTAAATTACTATAATAAAACTGTATTCCTTAATTAATTTTATGTAGACTTTGCTGCAGCGGGATTTTCATTAGAGGCTTTATTGCCGAGATATTTAATATCAAAGATTAAAAATTTTCTCTGTTCAGACAGCTTTATGCAAGTGATGTAAAGAAACCGTCATTAAAATTTTAATCGGTTTTGATTACACGCGCTCTTCGCTTTAAATATACAGTGCGATAAAATAATAACGAATCGTTATTATTTCCTCGATAAAAGCAATAAAATTTATTATAATCATATTTTTCAAATAAAATACGGTAATCAGACGTCAAACGAGAATACAAGAAAAATCGAGAATAATGCAATTATCGTGCGCAAAGATGAACGTTAACATTCATAAAAACAATATCGTAGTTATGATTAAGTTAGCTCGCTCGGGGGTTCATACCGCAGCCATTATTTCTCGTGGTAAAACCGCATCGGGAAACGAGCGGGTCAAAAGTCGCGACGAACTCGCGCGGTCAAAGTGCGACGCCCTCCTTTTATCGTATTTACGGTGGCAGGAAATTGCTTAAAAAAGATTACGTGCCCCAGGAAATTAGTTGAAAAGCGCGAAGAAGGAAGATTCTCCTTCCGGTCTGTCTGTGAAATGAATTCGAGTGAGTTCGAGAGACAAACTTTTCTCTTTCCGAAGTGACGAAGATCCGATTTCATCAATCCGCGCCAAAGGGTTATGGCTTGATTCGATTTTGTTTCGCGGACGCTTACTTAAGGGAGCCTCCGCTGTAGGAGAGAGAAAATAAGAATGTCCGGAAAATCACTTGTAAGGCTTGAGTTCCATTTTTCTTTCAAATCGTAGATACTGAAAAATACTTTTATCGCGCGATGTAATTTTTATAGCTGAAAAAAGGCTTGAATTAGATAAAATAAAAATCACAATTTCTGCATTCTATCACGAATTAATTACTATTCTACCATCATAATTTCTACTTTTTTACATTTATCTTTATATATTTATTTTCATATAAAAATATTTATTATTTAGCCTGTTTACAACTCTGCAAATTGATCATTTGAATGTTATAGAATATTAATTGGCTAGCTGTGTGGCATTGCAGTATGTAATGATGTTTTTCAAACGAGCAAAGACATTAAGCGTCAATCAACCTTAACGCCGCGCGATAGTTCGATAAGAGGTCGCTTAATCGGATTTTTTCTGAAATTTTCAAAGTATCTGCGACCAATTTGCGACAGTTTGAATTTGATTTGTCTTTGAACTCTCCAAGTATTCGCGACAGTTCGTGGCTTTTACGTACTCAAAGTTGTTACGCGCAAAGTGCACGTTCGTTGTTTTTATACTCGGAGCTACTTTGCTGCAGAATAAAATTCCGTAGCTTAAACTCCCCCGCGTTTAATCTCCCGTTTGATCTCATAATGAAAAGACGTCATTCCGGAAATGAATTTCAAAGCAGACGCACGGAATAAAAAGTGCTTCGCATTCGTTCTGACGTGACTGTCCAACCTTTCGTTAAAAATGCAGACGATGCGTATCTATGTTCGAGTTAGCCGGCGGAAAGTCATAATATTTTCAGACGATTTTGTCAGAAATTTGCGCGGTTCTTTCATTTTTCATTTGTCGACTGACCGAACACCAGTTCAATCTATTTTAAATCAATTGGTTGGAAAAAATAGATTATCAGATATTTTTTTATTCATATTTTTAGAATAAAATGAAACGTTCAGTCACAAGGTATTGTTTGATAAAATATTTCGGGAATAAAATTGAAAACAAAGCAAATCGAGCGAATGTTCGATTTCTTATTTATCTTTTGCGTTCTCTTTTGCATGCTCCTCGCCCGCGATCTTCGATGACGCGGATTTGCCTCTAAGAAAATTGGCGGGCAAATGTGGCTTAATGAAGGATGTATTTTTCAAAAGTGAAGGTTGCAAATCCCTAATGGAGGTAATTTCGCTGTCGAGCGCAGGACGAAGACGGCGGGAATTAACGTTACGCCATGTGTCTTGATTTTGCTTTAAGAAGGAGGTCAAAGAGCGCGGCGATGCCAGCGCGACCGGCGACTGGCTTTCCTCTTCCCTTCGGCAAACCGAACCAAAGAACCTGGGTTTTCCCAGGCCGAAGGACGGGCGCTCGAAGGAGCGGAACCGACCTCTAAATCCGACCGGATCCACGCCCACGCTACACCACGTAATAACATTACGCTGTAAATCGACTGGTGTGCGCAATGTAATTTCATTGAAGAGGCGACGTAAACGAGATCTCGGCGCATATCGACGTATTAATGATGAAACACTATCCAGCGCATACATTTCGCGTAATTGCACCAGCAGAAATTCCCGTTGTTCTTTATACGTGGATTCCGAAAATGATCTTGAAGGTTATCTAATTTTAGATTAAACATTTTGTTATGATTTTACAAATAATTTAAATAAATAAATTTGGTTTTTTTTATATTAACTATATATTCTCCGACATAATATTCAGCTAAAGAATCCTCTGAAGATAGTTTTTTTATTTCATATATAAATTTTATTAAATATATTCATGAAATAAACGCGCTGGTAGATTTTAATTAATATTAAATTAGATAGCCGTGTGTGTTAAAAATTTTAAATAGTTTACTATAATTATATTACTACATCGGAAGAAGTTAAGTTTTTTTCCGTTAATTCTTTCATCTCATGTAAAGTTGGAACGCCACGAGCGATAGTTCTATCGTTGCGTCATATGAAATAAAAGTCAAGCAAATGCTTGTAGAAGGTAAAGGTAAAAGCATTCGTTTTAAAGAAGGAATGCAAGTTACCTTGTGACGTAGATGGCATCTCACGCAATCCATAGTAAATACGACTGTAAAAAATTAAATATCCAGAATATGCAAATTAAAAGTAAAAGATCATTTTAAGACGATAAATAATCAGAAAATAAATTTTAACAATAATACACTTTAAAAAATACGCAATTAAAACATATATTTTTCGCCAATAAATTTCCTCAATCAGAAAATTGGTCGTCATAAAATAAATATGACTAAAAAAGTGTCACTATTGCAATTAGTAAAATATTTATTTTTTCTTTCAAAGATGTGATAGATATACTGTATATAAATCGCGATTATCGATAAACAAACATTGCCAATATTTATGAGTGTATAATACTTTGAATTTACATTGTCAATATTTATAAACGCGTTACGCTCTAAATTTACATTTGCAGTGAAAATCCTATATTTTGAAACGCGTGATATTGCGTTATGCAAAGTGCAAGTAAATTTTTGGCGTTTCCGTGGAAACAAAGAACCACACAATCCATTAATCGCAGATGATTATCGGCCAAAAAGACCTCGAAGTGTAGCGGTGCGTTCTCTCCTTCCACGCAATGCATATATAAAGACGATTCACTTTCACTCTCGTTTAGTTGACTTCGAATGTTATGCGTGACCCATACGTCTTCCCATTCTGACAACGCTAATTGAGACGCGTCTTAAATTTTTCTCTGTTTTTTTTCCGTGGACAAAAAATGCAAGTTTTTCTTTTAATCTTTCTCGCTGTAATCGCGATGACGATCGCTGAGGAGGATGCAGCCTGGGCGTGGAAGGATGATGATAAACAAAAGGAAGGCCGAGCCGCTGATGCCAGGTGCGTTCTCAAATCGTAACTGATAACCATTATTTTAACGACAATGTTTAATATATAATTATACATAATTAGAAATTGAGCAAATATTACGTATGCTTGACGTATAATTATATCTTTCATTGGACTTGTTTTATTATAATATATATTCAAATTTATCTGTTATTAAATGTTCCTCTAATATTGATTAAATTAAACACGCAATTATAAATGTCAGTAAATATAATTTCAACAAAGAAAATGTGATATTTGTGTTGCATTCGAATCGCGCGATCAGATTGAAGGGAATCGATATTTCGCAACGCAGCTTGTCATGCGCGAAATTTTTAGGTATCAAGTGTACGAGCCTGCGGAACATTTGGGAGGTCTCAATGGCGCTCAATTAGGCTTTAGACCTCAGAACTCAGGACCTTACGGACCTAACAGCAGACCGATCATACCGGGATATCCGGGAAATAACGGTGTTCTCGTTGGTCCTGGTGGACCGACCGGAATAATTGGCAGGTAATATCATAAAATAAAGCAGCTGATTTTGAAATATACAGAGTGTTGAAAAACTTTGGGACTTTGACAACCAAAAATTATTTGGATCAATTTTGCGATTAGTGATTATATTGATTAAATATTTTTTATACAATTCAAGCTATCTGTGAACCCTGTTTTTCTAACACCTCGCAGTTGAATATTTCATATTTATACACGCGATCATCAATTAACTGGATCATTAATCCGATTTTCGAAATCGCCAAAACTGCTTAAAAATCGCGCGATTCAATGCGCGATATGCGCAATTCTCTCATCGAGTCCGCGCTATAAATCGTACTTTTCAAACAGATTCATTAATCTCGGAAAAAGTGGGATTTGCCGTGCCGACTGGTGCGTACACTCTCTTTCTCTCTCCCTCGGTTTATTCTATGTTAAATTTCCAATGATCCAATAAAAATATATAGCATCGTCTCTCTCTTCACACCACGCGGTTGCTTAATTTATAGATATCTGTGCATTTAATTGCGCGCGAAGCGATGGTCCGGCCGTAACAATATTTTACGAGACACGGTTTATTCAATATATGTTCATATATGTTTTTCATAAACTGTATTCGCGTGCTTCATCTGCTATGAATCTTACCGCTTTTAAATTATCTTTGCTCGAATTATCATCATATTTTATAATCGCGCAGACAGAATTGTTTCTCTTTTATTTCTAGATAAAAATGTACCTTTAAAAATCGCGCATTAAATGTCGTTCTTGGTTTTCAATACAAAAAAAAATATGGAAATGCCGTTGATGTTTTAGACCACCTCGTTTTGAGCTGCATGGAACTGACGGTATTCTCGATTCAGTGCCGCCGTGGATCAGAAACGATCCCCGTTATCGCGAGTTCGACACTTGTAAATGCAGATACAGCTTCAACTGCCCGTCGCCCGGTTTGAAATTCGTGAGTTCAATCGAGTATCCGCAAACCCGGCAAGCTTAACGAATTTTTGCCTACTGATTTCAGGGCCACTGCGCGAGAGAAAAAAAATACTGCTGCTTCAACAGCAGAAGATTCCCAGGACTGTTGGGAGGAGGACATTATCCATATTATCCCGTAATAAAAATATTTTAATCTATTCAAATCAATCTTTTTACGTATTTAATATATTTAATATACAGAAGTTAGTCAAAAAGTTTCTAAAAAGCTTCACTATTCAAAATCATTAATGTTTAATATTTAAAAATAAGAAATAGCTTTTTTGTATTGATTAATTATGCTGTCGTGATCATACAACTTGTCACTCTTTTATCTTTAATCAAATGGATTTTTGATCAAACTTTCATTTATATTTACGAGTAATTCGTAATGTTCATGTATGAGTTTCCTATTCATTACGTAATAATAAATTCCAGGGCGCGCCGCACAAGTTCAGACCGAACGGTTTCTCGCCGACATCGAATTATTACGGCAATCGAAGACCGCACGGTGGTTTCGAACATCCGTCTTTCGGTGACTATTACTCGGGATCCTACGACGATGCTTACGGTCACCGTAATGAATTCGAGTCGTACGATGTTGACCCCGATGATTATGCGATCTACGGACGGTCGTTAGGCAAGAATCAAACGCAGACGAGCGAGCAGCCGCAGAGGGAAGCCAGCAAGTAGTAACTGAACGAATAAATTCTCTCATCGATCATATCATTTTTGACCGATATTTCTTCATTCTCAATGGAGATGCCAAAGATGTGTGACAGAAATATATGTATATGTTTTGTTGTATTGAGCAATCGCATTTGACGTAGAATTAGATAAGATTCAAATTGAATTCGAATACGAGTTTTTCGAATCGACAGTTAACTTAAATAAAACGATATGCGTGATTTATTGTAAGCGCGACTCGATAAATTTTCCACGAAATTATTAATGCTTGACTATTTGATTATTACAATAGGATGTGCATCAGATTCTGTTTGAAAGATTATCAGTGATATCGTAATCACATAATAGCATGAAATTCGAATATCTGGCTACTAATCGATTACATGCATTTTTCAACACAAAGACATAGTGCCAGAATGTTAAATAAATGCATAAAAAGAAACAAAGAAAAAGATAAATTATGTTTACTCGTAATTTTATAAATTGTAGTAAAAAACATCGACAGCGTTTGTTGGTGATTTTCGGATACAAAATAGACTCCATTAAATTATTAATATTTTTCTCTTTATCTCTTTTTCTTCTATTTTTTATACTCTGTCAACAATTTTACTAATACTTCAGCTATCGACTCACCAATTGTTGTGATGACGATGATGGAATAGAAGAGAGCGCCAGCGAATGTCCACTGAAGATTATTTTCCTCCTCGCTACCGTCCCATCCTTCCTTCGTCATCTTCTTCAGAAGGATACCCTCGAATTCCTACAATCACGCAGTATTATAAATAGATAGCCTTTTCTCTCAGATTAAATACAACAATATAAAAGATAAATATTTAGTATTTACTCGCATTATTTAATGTTATAATTTAATATTTGACTTAATGCGAAATATTATAAAAGTAAGTGTGATTTCTATTTTATGGAGCAAAATATCGATCCAAAAAAACTTGCTAATAGTGTGATCTAAAAAATAAAAATGCAACTCATACCTTCAACTCGCTCAATGCTTTCTGCGTCCAATTCTCGCGAATCAACACGTCGAAATCCTTCGTGATTTTCCATAGATTTTCTGAAACGTTCTCTCGTATACTCTCGATACTCTTCTTCACCTGCAAAGAGAGTGCACAGGTGAAGAACGATGCACTTACTCGGCGTCGCGATGCTCGACGCCAAGTCAATAATTCATTGACACGAGCGTGGAATATTCGATGTGGAGGAAACTATTTGTCTGTGTACCCCTTTTTGCTCTTGATGTCGAGTTAAATTCAGTAAATTTCGATCGATACTGGAATTATGTGAGATAAATCACTCGTCATTTTAACGGCTAAATTATTAATTCTGATAAAACTAATAAAAATTAATATATTCCACATATTTAATAGCAAATTAATAAAAAGATTAAAATACATAAGTCGAAAATAATTCACCACAATATACATACGTAATGGAATAAATGTAGATAATTATTCAATAAAATAATAAATATACATATAAATACATATAAATACATATAAATAAATTATTCTGAGATAAAATAATTTATGTTAATGAAAATTTAGATAAATACTTATCTAATCGGTAATATTAATTATATGTAAAAGAAAATTTTAGAAATGTAAAAGCGTAACAAGAAAATATATTTGTTAAAAGATGATTTGTATGATACTGAAAAAAAATCAATCTTTGTCTTGTAATAGAGAAAATTTCAAATCTAATAAATAGCTAACCGCTGTATATATTTTAAAACTGGAATTTTTATCAATGTATCCGCGATTTACCTCCCTCTCGTGATTCGCCTCCAGTGACTCGAAGGCATACGCGCCGATTAGACAATAAGCAACCACCAAGGAGATCAACGTCACGTGAGAAAAGACGCATCTGCTGAATTTCCACAGCAGTCGTAGGAACTTGATGCATCTTGACGGTTTCTCTACTTCCATCGGGTCAAATACCTCCGTACGCGCACGCGGCATTTTCTCTCTACTCGCTCCGCGTCGGGTATCGTCTTATTGGATTCCCCATTTACATAGCGAGCACAGCATCGCGCTTCGTCCTCGTCAGTTAGCTTTAATTGCTGATAATTAGATTTCCTCTGATCGCGCGCAATAAGTTTATCGGTGTAGTTGTTGAATTCAGTATTCCAATTCCAAAATTTCAAGTGTTTATCGTAAAATTTTAAGATCAATACAGTTAAGACTTGGATTATTGTGAAAATTTTTATTTAAAAAATGCGTTTACGGAAAAGAATCGGACGTCGAAGAAATTTACAGGAATCCGTTCGATCGATAAACCTTTGAATATAAACCCGGATCTCAATTGAAAATCTATAAAAATCCAAGGAAATAGAATTTACGTATCTATCGGAAAGAGCGAGCATATGTGACTAATATCTCGTCGATTTTCGACTCTCTGGCAAATAGAGTTCTACTGTAAAATTGAAGAGCCTCGTAAATAATTTTTCCGACTCTTGCTGAATTCCACGCGGATGTAATATCAAATCGCCATACCGTAAATAAATAACTGTGCACACGTGTTGCAACTGCAATATCGGATCGTTAATGTTTACGTAACTAATTTAAATTGTAAAAATTATTACTTTTCGTTACGTTACCTATTGTATTTTTTTTTTTTTTTTTTTTTTTTTTTTTTTTAGGTTTTAGATACGCAATACAGAAGCTTCACACCAATTTTTGCAAAACTCACATATTTTATATATTTCGAAGCGTATTGTCATTATTTTCCAAAAATGTAATTATATAAATAACTTGTATTAATTATATGAGTATGCACTGACGAACACTGTCATTTTTCGACGCAAACACCCTGTGTATCGTTAATGAGAAACTATCGAACATATTGTCACGTATTTCTGAATAAAACGATTTACGGTTAAATTGCAACAAAATGCTTGCGTCGCTGTGTAACCCGCCCGATACTATCACTCGTTTGAGCAATCTGTTTTCGTATTCATTTGGATCGTTCGTCTCCTCTCGCACGGGCAATTCGCCTTAATGCGACACGTTTCTTCGGTATCTATCCATTTTACCGGTCGTCGATCGATACTGAATCGGCAGCGAGCTCTCTTTTGTTGCACACGATGTTGTGCCCGAAAACGCGTTATCATTGTTATCATTGACACTCGTTTGTACGCTTTTGTTGATAAATTCATTATGGGTCACTATTACTTAATTAATCGAGAAAATCGATTTTTCCTCTAAAATATCAGCGTAATTCTCAATTTATAACGTGTGAATAAAAATATAGATTCTCATATTAGAAAACCAATGAGATGTTAAATTAAAACTTATTATATTAACTTTTTTAAAAAACGGGAGCTGTTAATTATAAATATTGAAAGAAATGATAAAAATAGTAAAAGCTGCCCGTTGTTTAAAAGTTAATTTATTTTATATCAATCATATTGTTTATTAAAATTAGTCGATTTAAAACAAAACGGAAAAATTAAAAAAGAATTATAAAATTCCACCAGAGACGCGTAGATGCGACAGTTATTTAAAGCGGCACATGTTTCAAGCTACCGATCGGAACTACCGATAATTGTAGTCTATCCCAATCATAAGGTCAAGGAGGATATTATTCTTTCGATCGTTTCCCGAATATTTCGACGCCGTGAGACGATTCTTCACAGCCCCGAAGGATTTTTTAGCACCGCGCAAATATCGCGCTCACTCGCGAATACCCGCTCGCGACTTCCGAACCTCATCATAATAATACGCCCGTGATTCTCGCATGTTCCTCGACACGAAACTAAAGCAGAAAACGCGGAACGCGGCTGAATTACACGCATCCGCGAGGCGGCTGTTCCAAATTTATCCCAGCGTCGAAATTTTGTTCGGTGAGCAACGCAAAGGTGGAGGCAAGGCGTTCGCGGAATCACTCATGGCTAGAATCTCGAAGACTATTGCGCGAAAATTGAGAAATTGAATGCAGCGTGAGCTGACTTATTTATTACACAAACGTTGCTTTTTCGGCAAATTTGAATAATGTAAACGATTACGAATTTTCGCCTAACTCCAAAATTGATATAAAAGTATACTCCGCATACTTCGTAGCATTTATATGTATTTTTCTCGAGCTCGTTTGCTGAAACGCGTGTATATATTTACGATACGCTTTCGTGTACTTAAATGTAAATTTGTACGCAATGGGCTTTAGCCATGGGCTTTAGCAATGGACTTTAGCCAAATAATAGATAATGCGAATAACGAGATCGCGCTGTAACGAGGTACGATGGGTTATTCTCAAAGTCTCGATCTTTTTTGCAAACGGAATTACATAGCATCAGTATGCCATGTACTTTTGCGCCACAAAAAAAGGAAGTCTTAAAAACCAGTCTTGGAGAATTGACTTTTTCATGTTTACCATTTGATACACGTTTCACTAATTTTATTGAAGAAGTTCTTGTATTAAAATTCAAGAAATTATTATCAACTCAATTGAATCTACACGAATGCTTGTTCAGCTCTGAATTCTCTTTGAATAAAAAAATATTTGACGTAATACTTTTGTAAAATTCGCGCATATAATTGCATTACTTTTTACCATAAATAAACAGCTTAAAATATGACTAGATAAAACTCAGTTTATAAACTACAAACAGATTTTAAACTAAATATGTAGAAAGTTTCTCCATTACCTTTTAAAAAAAATGTTTTGTGTATAATAAAAGTGTTTTCTAAATTTATCACTATATAATACAAGTAGACATTTTGCACAATATCTTATAAAATCAAGTCCACTTTTTTTTAATGCAATAAATTTAACTTTATTTTTCTTGAAGTGCATTTTATGCGAGAATTTAGTCCATTTGTATTTTTAGTGAGTCAAATAACATTATGCATTTATGTGAAGTTATTTCAAAAGTCTCTCTATATTTTTCTCTGAACTTTATTGCAAAAACAAATATGCAAAGAAATAAAATTAGCAACTAATACAATTATCCTCTTTCTCATTTTTTATCATTCACTAATTAGTTTGTGCTCCATTCAAAAAATTTAATAAAAACTTAATTTTAATTAAAAAAATAGATACAATTTTATAAAATATTTTGCAAAATGCGTTTTGTATCGCGTATTAAATAGCGATAAAATCAAAAAACATTTTTATTATATGTAGTATATATATTTTCTTTTTATTTTAAAAACGCCAAGAATTTAAAACAACTGATGCTATATTTATTAAAGTATCATAATCAGTCTATTTTTTTATATTTAGTACTAAAAATATGTATTTTATCGACAATAAAAACACTTGCAACACTTCGACGAGTCTCAATAAATAACGCGGTATTGGGCGCGTAAGCGTTGCGCTTATGTGGCCGCAATAGACGCCGGGGCGAATATATGTCCAGCGTCAGTAATTATCGCAACGGCGTGTATTAATTGGACCGTGCGGGGGTTACATGAATAAACATGAGATCGTCGATCATGTAAATTCGCCCGCGGTGACAGTTTCGAACGGGATACCAGAGGCACATTGCGCAGCACGTTTCTCCGCGAAGTCGGCAACGCGAAGGCGTTTTATTTTTAGTCGCGATTATTTACAGAGAGAAGGAGAGAGAAAGAAAGAAGAAGGATCGATGAGATGCGCGCGACACGCGGATAATTATCGCGCGAGCGTTTTTCAACAATTAACAAAAAACGCCTTTAAAATTTTAAATCTTAATCGCTGAAGAATGGGTGGAAGCAAATGTTTATATAAGAATTAATCACGTAATTTTTTTCTTTTTTTCTTTTCAAAGAATAATTAAGATTCTTATATGCCAAAAATATTCAATATTTTATTTATTAAAATATTTAATCGCGTAACTTTCTTAAAATAAAAAATGAAGAAAATATTAAGATTAGACTTATAAATTTTGTATTAAATTAAATTTTCTGTCCAAAGTTGGAAAATAATAGATTGATCAGCAAACTTTGTGTACCTTCAGAAGGCTACTCTCGTCAGTTATCTCCCGTCACCTGATTTATCGGTGTCTGTAATTTCATTGAATGACGAAGAAATCTGTGCTACAATACTTTCAGTCGGCAAACCGTCTTAATTGTCAAGTTTGCGTGTGAGAAAATTTAGAAGCAATATTATATATTATCATTTAAATAATAATATCTAAAAGCTACTATAAAATAACGTAATAAATATATAACGTAAAAAACTATTAACAAACCTGAAATGTAATTAAATAGTGTTAACAAGCATTAATAAATTATAAATTTATCCATTTTCAATATTAAATTTAAAACAATCCATATTTGCCATGTAATATTTTCTTAATTAATCCTTTGTGATCGTAACATTTCCGGCATTGCAATTTTTCGTTACGGATGTATGTTGGATATTTCCGACAACGTAATCTTTTGTTGTGAACACATTGGTAATTTTCAAAGCCACTGAACTACTAAATTGATATCTGTTTCAAGTCACGTACATTCTACTATATTATATTTTATAATAAAATTAAACTCAAAAATATTGAAACACAAAGGATTAAAATTTGAACTTACAAAAGCTGTTTATGCATCGCTATAATAGTTTGAAAATTTTGTCCTAGAATTTAACGTTCCTTGTTTAATTAAATTCAATTAAAATCCATTAAAATTAATATAAATTGATGCAATGAAATTTAAATTAACTTATATCATAAAAGTTATTATTAGAAATTAACATATTTTTAATGTTGTCAATGTTGCAGAATACTATTTTTGTTTCTTTTACTTTATTATCGCATATATATATATATATTGATTTTAAAAATTTGAAAAAATTGTTTATATGCAAAATTAGAGAAATCATAAAACTAATTTTACATTTACAAAACTGTATTATTCCATGTCAAGAAATGTTTCTAAAAATTTAGATGAATGAGATAAACGTTAATGTCAATTGTACATTTCGAAATTTCTCTTGGCATCGTATGTTACCAAATGAAATGCACTGGCTTGGTTGTCGGAAGCTTACGTTACAATCGCCATCGATTATCTCGACGTATGTCGAGCGGCGTGCCGGCTCACATCACATTGATAATAGGCGACAATTTGGACACGCGCCTGATAAGTCAACAACCGTCCCGAAATGACACTGACGCCGATCGCGCCTAGATCCGGCGCATACACTATACGCGATTCTGAATATTGTACACGTCATCGTGATAAGCAATGATTAAAGCAATTGACACAGATCTATGTAATGTATCAAAATTACATCATTTTTTCCGATTGTACGAACTTTTGATCAAGCTTTTTCTTGGTTAAGTTGAATAAAATATCTTCCTTTTCATAATTTCGCAAATATTTTTTTTCAAATTTTTAAAATCAATATATATATATTGTAATAAAGTAAAAGTAATAAAGTAAATAAACAAAGCAATAAAATAATATAAGTATAAAAGTAATAAAGTAAAAGAAACAAAGATAATATTCTGCAACATTGACGACATTAAAATTGCTTAATTTCTAATAATAACTTTCATGATATCTTTTGACCATAAATTGCGATATAATGTGTGCACCACGATAATGATGTACGGATGGAAATTTCTGACCACATAGCTGAATCATTTACGGGATATCAAGGATTATACATCTTTCTTATAATCATTTATTATTTTTCCAACAGAGCTTGTAGATATTTATAAATATATACAGAGGATTATTACAACAGACGAAAAATTTTCGTCCCGTAACACAGCGCATAAGTATATATTGGTCACGCAAGAATATCAGTCTAGATTCCTGATAGCTCAAATTTTTAGGATAATTTTGACAGATTTAGGACAGATTTTTGGTAAATTAAATAAAATAAGCTGATTAGGAGAGCTTGCCCGTGAGTTATATTGCAAAAAAAAAGAATTACACGTTTAATTATATAAACGTTATTTAAAAGTAAAAGATACCATTTCATTTACCGGTGTTTCCGGTTATAAAAGCGGCAAAGGTTTACTATAAAGAGCGCAATATTGTTTTATCTTTGCGTGTAGACCAATGACATCATGCGTGTCGACTTTTACGACTTTTATTGATTCTTATCTACAATAGTCTTTTTTATGTCGATACGTTGCATGGTGCAACATGAATCGCCCTCTCGTTTTTACGAGCGACGCTTACGCCGGTCGTAAAAGACGATCGATTCTCATCGTGTAGAAAGCGATCGAGGTTCACCATAAGGAAAGAAAAAAATCCTGCGAAATCGCGAAGTAATCGACAAAAATTGGCGAAGATAACCATCATATTCGAAATATTTCGCCAGTGGAATTACATGCTACAATATTTCGAGTATTTGGCATTAAATAGAAATATTAAAAATGTAAGTACTAAAAAAAAAAAAACAAAAAAAATACGCTGCAAGATAAAATTTACTCTCTCAGTAGCCGTTGTATCATATGAATGTGATTCTATTCCGCTGCTATCTTATTTCTCTCTTTATTTTTTCACTCATCGTGGTTTCCGGCTTCTGTTTTTGAAAAATCTACAGACCTCGCGATCGCGGAGGATTAATTAAAAATAGACTTAATTTATACCAACGTTTATACCTCACAGCGTTTCAGTCATCGGAACGGTATAACGATACTTTCCAACATCCATTCCCAAAAAATATTCCTTAATAATTAAATTAAGTGAGAAAAGTTTCATGTATCTTATCACATAAATATGTTTTTAACATAAGGCACTTAATTCTCCTACTTCATATTAATTTTTCATAATTTCTTTAAATTTTTCATTAAAACATCACTTCCGTATCTTCAATTTCATCGAATTTGAAACTATGCACAATCACAGAATACGTTTACCGATCCGTTGCATTTCCTCATTGTATCATCGCTATGGCTATCGATCAATCGTAGACTTAGTATATTTCACGTTGAGCATGAGACTTAGAATAAATTATTTACATAAAAGGAAAAAGAAAATACTGCAGTTTTCTCACGAACGTGATTCCGGCTTGCCGTGTGGAATCGATGAGGATTCGCGATTTGTCGCAATCGCGTCGGCTTGTCGTCGACGCGAAACCGCAATTGCATTCAGCTGGGAAATAATTCCTGCGTTTCGAATACCACCCCGTTAATACGACTCGCATAAATCGATGCGTAATGGTTTCCCCGAGTAAATCGCTCGCGGCTTTATCCGACTGCGGAATATGAATTCGCGCTCAATGGTCTTTTAGATAGAATTGTTAGCTTCGACAAAAAGCTACTGATCGTGTAGCAAGAGAAAAAACTTTATCTCTGTGCAAATCCCGTTTTTCATACGCCCCGTTCTATTTTAGACAACATATGTATGTTCCGTATTGATTCGTCCAAACGATTACCGCTTCTATCTTTATGTTCCTCTTCATCTCTGATAAGATACGAACAATTTTATCGCTTAAATCGCTCGCTTTTATCTCGAATTCTATCGCAAATTGTGGACCATCTAAAGTGAGCTTGAGATAGAAAATATCGACACTTCAAGTGCACTTTGCCGGATAAAAATCAAGGCGAGCTCTCTCTTCACGCGTACGAGCGATCAAGAAGCGATATTATGCTGTCACTAGAGATGAATCCACTCTAACCAGTCACACTTATCTCTCGATTATCTCTTCGATTAAATCTCCAATCAAGCACTGGCAATTACCTCCCGCTGATAGTTTCACGTCTGCGTCTCGCCTTCTGCTGTCATCCCGTAAACACCAATCTTAAGAGAAAGAGAGAGAGATAAGGGAGGAAAGGAAAAGAGGAAGAGATCGAGATCTTCGGCGCTATCTCGGGCCGAAGAAGCCGAGCGTCTTCAGCGTGTCGGTAACCCTAGAGGTCAGTTTGTCCCGGTAACGCCAGATCGTCGTGTCGATCACGCTGTTCTCGCGGTACTCCACGCAAGACTTCTTCAGCGAGCGCACGCAGTCGGCGCGGTAGTGCTGGAGCTGCGCGTCTTCGGTCTCGATCGGATAGCTGGTGCATCCGGCGCCCAGGCACGCAAGCGGGAAATGGTTGTGCAGAGTGACCACGCGCTCCGGATTGTGGAAGCATTTGATGTACTGGTTCGGCTTCGTAAAGTTCTTCGAGCGATAGACGTGCTGCAGCATGTGCATGTACCTACGAGGAGGAGGATACTCGAATCAAGAATGGCACTTTTTTCGCGAATTCAAATTTCCCGAGACGGACAATGTTAGAAGAGAACCTACCGGAGTTAGTTATATATTGCATGTTAAATTTGGAATCTTCCTTCTCTTGCAACAAAACGTTGATAGCGATAATTTTTCAACTTCCAACAATCAATTATTTCAACAATATCTAATAAAGATTTATCAAAATAATATTCAAATGTTTAATATTTATTTAAACTCAACTTACCTACTTTTTCAAATTTTATCAATTTTTTGCAGTTAATGATATTAAATAAATTAAAGTAAAATCAATCAACATTTATATTTATTTAAGTTCAACTTACCTACTTGTTCCTATTTAATTAATTTTCTCCGGCTGACGATTCATCCAATATTTATTCAAATTAGTACTCTTCATTAAAAAAGAAACAACACAAAAAATTTTCAAAAGCATAACAAGTTAATTTAACTTGAAAAAAATATGCATCAATCAATCAATCGAAGATTTCAAGTCACAAAATAATTGCAATTATAAAATTACAAGAAATCCTAAAAATATAATAAATAATGCTAAAAAACATTATAAAAAAAAGCGCATTGTATGTCATTGTACCTGTTTTTCTCGATAAAATCATCCAATATTTATTCAATCTTACGTAATGATTGTAGTTTTTGTGTAAATCTGACCAAAGATAATTCAACAACGCTCGACCTACGTATTTGTTTTACGAGCCGATCGACGATACGAGAGTGGGCAACCTTTACTTACTTGGGTATGTCCTTGAAGTAGCCGTGCGAGTGCAGCAGGTCGTCGAGGAAGTAGACATTCCGCACGTTGTACGAGGCGCGCGTCTCGTTCCGTATCTGCAGCGCCTTCGGCAGCACGCGGCGCATCAGTTCGCGCCAGGTCGCGTCCTTCACGGGCATGATCACCTCGTCGACATCGAGCAGCGCGATGTACTCATACTCGTACATGTGCTTGTACAGACAGTCGTTGTACGGTATCAGCTCGTTCTGCCGCTTGTGATTCGTCCGCTTCGTGAGGTACATGTGCTGGAACGCGGGTACGTTCGGCTGGCCGCCGGGCAAGGTTAACGGGGTTACGTGCACCATACCCAGACGCTGGTAGTGGCGCAACACCTTGGTCACGTTTGGATGCACCTGTAGCTCGTAAAAGTAGATCTTGTCAGCGCCCAGCAGGTGAATCAACTCGATCCACTCGATCAGCCGCACCGACAGGTCCTCGTGCAGGAAGTCCAGGCCCTTCACGCACACCGCGAAGTCCTTCTTCCGTTCGGGCTTGTTGTAGATCACTCGCAGATGATTGCTCGCCGCGTCGCAGCGTCTTTCCACCAGCGAGACGGATGACGGCGGCTTGTTGGCGGTGACCGCCTGCGGCGGCACCTGGCACGCAATCACGTACGGTTGGTAGATGCCCTGTTTGTAATTGCCCCACTTCGCGTACCAGATGTACTTGTACTCGAACGTCTCGACGATACGTGGCTCGCTCTCGCCGTCGTACCACAACTGGCAGTACGTCTTTACGGTCGGCTCGATTCGATCGATCATGCCGACAATTCGCACCGCCGGGCCAATTTTCGACAGCTTCCGATTGTCGTAGAACGCGCCGAAGAACTGGAACGTGCCGTTGCTGGTGCGCAACGTCTGCCAGTAGACATTGTTGAACTCCAGATCGTAGATCTGCGGGTAACGCGCGCAACTGTTGTTGCCGCGCTTCCGATTGCCGTTGCCGTTCCTGGCGGACCAGTCGCCCAACGGTAGACTAGGCATCCGCTCGGCGATCTCCTCGATTAGCTGATCCTCGGTCTTGGCCGGTCTTCGATCCAGTAATGGCTCCAGTTCGAGCGGGCTGCTCGTCGCGGCATCCAGCCGGTTTTTTAAAGTGGTCAGCGTGGTCAGCAGGGCGCCGTTGCCAGAATTGGAAAGATCGCTTAGCGACGATCTCTGCAACAGGTATCGAGGCAAACTTAAACCAGCGAAATTACGAGTACGGTCGTTTCCGGTGCCGTCAACTTCTAGGTTGCCAATTTCTTCGGCCGTGGGGCCGCCGTCCTGACGCAGTGCTCGGTTTTCCAGATGACGGAACTGCACCGCCGCGATCATTAATAGGCCCCAGGCAAATATGAGGACGAAGGTGCGCCGCATGCATCGCGATGGCCCGCCGCCGCTGCAGCTCTGCATTATCGTCGTCATCATCCTTGCGTGATCGACGATATCCTGGACGACGACGTTGAAAGTCGCCGAAACTCTTCTTCCGCCTTCTTCCTCGATCTGACGGCTGAATCTGCAACAAAAATCGATTGTTGTTAGTGTCAATCGAGAACCGCAAGTTTCGTCATCAGTGAATAATTTATATATTTTTTTATTGTCTTTCAAGAAGTTTGCTTGGACTAGAATTTATCTTATTCTCAGAAAATATTGATGCAACTTTATGTACGAGAAAATCAAAATTTCAATTTGTGTAATCTAATATTTAATATTAAAAAATGGCTAATAAATGGCAAATTAGTCAGAATACTTGAACAATTTCTCAACTGCAACAATTGCGGAATCATTATCCTCGAAGAGAACGGATGATTTGTTCGTCAGAATTTGAAACGTTGTCGGGATCGTGCAAAACAAAATCTACGAGGCAGTTTGCGGTATGATCGCCGGTGGAATTTAGGGCAGAGAACGAGATAACGTCCTTAACTGTGTAAGGACACCCGGCCACCGGTAGCCAGTACTCGACTATCATCAGGAAAGCGAGCGACCCTGTCGGGCGAAACCCCGTTGGCCGGATCAGGCCAAGCTCTCGCAGATCGAGAAAGAAAGAGAAAGAGCAAAAGCGCGAGACCCGCTCGGGGATACATGGAACCGGTTATGCTGATGGCAAACCGTTTTTCACCTTTTGCACCTCGCTCCATCTAACCTCCTCCCTCTTCCTTGACCACCTCGGGCACCTTCTGCCCAACGATGTTCCCCCTCGTCTAGCCTCATCCTTCCCTCCCGCCCTACCGTGCCACAAACCTAGGCGATGATGGCGACTCTCCCGAGATCAGGCTCGGCCGCGACCTAGGATTTTCCACGAAGATCCTACCAGGCCAGGCGTTGCTCCGCGATGTCGTCATTCCTCGAATTTACAATATCCTCGAATATCTCGCGAGTATTTTATAGAATAAAAATTCTACCAATGATTATGTTGATTTAAAGTATATATTAATAAATATTCTGTCATTATAAGTAGTAAAGAGATAAAGAGCAAGAGAAAAAACATAATTCATCGCTTCTTCTCTTTCAAAAAAATACAAGAATAAGATTTATAAGCTTTAAAAAAATTTATTTCAAGAGATTAAATTGCAAATTTATACTAATTTAAGAATTGTGCCTTCATATCGATCTCTTTCTATTTAAAACTTTACTTTATAATAGATGCGCGCAAAACTAATAATTATTTAATTAATAAAAAGAGAGAGTTTATATTTTGCACAGAGAAATCTTACAACATATCTAATTAAACCACTCGGAAACATTAAACCTTTCGAATTTTCGTAACGCAAGGATATTGTTAGACGAAGGGATGAGAAGATATATTCATGAAGATAAGGCAACCTCAATGAAGCACACCGTTTCTTCGTACGACGCGTAATATCGCGATGCTGTCGTAATTGCGCCGGCGATTAAACGCCAAAAGTGTCTAATCGCCGGATTTATGTGCCTTTAGCGCGATTTTCGCACGACACAAACGACATGGCGCAAAATCTCGTCTCCTTGATTCTTTCGAGATCATTTTTTGCAGGAAAATTTCTTAGTCAAAGCTCGTCAAATTAATGAAAGAAATTTAGAAAAATAAATTTGTAAGAAAATAGATTCAACGAATAAAGAGTTACATGAAATTTTTCTTTTACGTTACAAAAATGAGAGATAAAATTGAAATTATCTATTTTATATTCATGTTTAGTTATTAAATTAGCTTATCAGTAAAAAATAAATTTAATGTTTTTCAAGTATTTTTATACCATAGATTATAACTTCTAATAATCCTCTGTGCAAAATGTAAAAATATAATTCTGTCATGTACAAAAAAATACATAACTGATAGCTTTTGTAAGATCCGTTAAAATCATTAAGAAATTTCACCTAGTATTTATAAGTGATGCATATATGCGTCATCGCGAAGATTAAAGTGAGCCGATCGCTCGTTCAAGGGATCGCTAATTAGCATAGCTTTATTTAATCTGCTTTCATGCGAGTGCTAAGCCTGATAAACCGGCGTATCCACGCAATTGCGTATGAAAGTGCAACTCGCCAGCGTGATGCCACTTCGTTCCCGTTTAATTCAGATCCCGGTTCTTATCGTCCCGTTTGGAATTAGCAATCCCGCACAACAACGGGCCGGCCGGTACGCAAATTGCTCGGAACGAACGCGCTCGAATCGACGCAATCGCCAATCGTCCAATATAATCCTTTCGTTACGTTTAGCGTTTATTAAAAAAAAAATTTTTTTTTTAATTTCTTGTAAGATATTTTTGCCGCAGATACGTCTAAATTTTTCTTAATAATTCAGTGAAATAAATCAATTTTTGGACTACAATTTTCTGAAAACGGTTTTGACTCACTGTGTACGCTATTTTTGTTATCGTCAAATAAAAATAATACAATTACAATTAAAATTTATAATAATACAATTATTACAAATTAATAATACAACTGTAACATTTTTATATTTAAGTTAAAAGTTAGAAACAATGTTTATGAGAAAGACAGCTGTCGACGAAGTGAGTTAATGATAGACCTCACGTGCCTATAGTGACGTAAAAGAGGCTTAGATGAAATTAAACATAATTTACAATAGATACTAACGCCAGTGATGCCGGGGATTTAAAAGCTACTCTGATATACAGCCGACGTGTTGTTAATGATCAAGTGAAAGGAGGTTAATAATAAACCGAAAATATAGCCTCGCAAAGTTTGGCTCCGCGGTATCACAGTTTTTGCTGCTACTTTATTTTGTGGCTAAAATAAATGTCACGCGCAAACTAACACATATTTTTCTAGCTGGATACTCGCTTATCTCGATAACATTTAACTCCTTTTATCGTATCCAATAATCCTTACTTTTTAGAAAAAATATAAAATAAAAGATAAAGATAAAGTCAAGAATATCAATTTATGTTGCAATGTGTTTAATATTTCCAGCATTAAACTAATTTTCTTTTGTGTAATAATCCACATATTTAATTCAATTAATTTAAATTTTTAGAGAAATAGAAAAGGAAAACAAATAGTATTTTAATAATAATTAAAAGATCTATTAATCTTATCGCATTTGATAAAACATGTCAAGTGCTTGACTTTCTGCGCAACTATCGGAATTTACACAGATCTGTATTCCTAGCACGTCTCCTAGACTTGTGTCCTTGTTGTCGAGACATCAAACGTGACACAAATTAGATGATTGTAGCATTACAATTCATTCATATGACTGAGTTCTTTAAATATGCATTGAGCAAATGTCACATAAATATATTTTGTTAAATTTGCATGCAGAAATAATTTTAAAAAATATTGAAACATATCAATTTTTAGTCAAGAAATAATAAAAATCACCATAGAGACGTCACCATAGAGACAATTATCGAGATTTCTGGATTGTGGAGATTTTAGGAATCTAAAATAAAAAATGTTATGGCCGAGAAATATTTTACAAATTAATTTTATGTCGAAAGATAGTAAATGTTATTCGGCTTAAGAAATTCAACGTCAAATATCGAGAACGCAATCTTCATAAAATGTAAATAGCGGCGCCTATTTTTTTAAAATCAAAATCATTATCTGTCGCCCATTGTGCAAATACACGATTCGCGATTCTTACGCGATGACCCGTAAGATTACGATTGCTGATAAGATTTTATTGCGTTGCATGCATTTAATCGTACGTCGATACTATCGCGACATCACCACTTGAATATATGCGTCACGAATGTAAATGTAATTGCCTTCCAAACTTCCAAGATTGCGAGGCACACAAATCTTCGTTTTTATCGTCGCAAAAAAGCGTTTGTCGCAATAGTAAAATCGTGCGTTTCTGTCTATATTTTTTTTTCTATTCATTCGCCAGTCATCGATAAATTATTTATCAATATTGCATACACGTGCGGAGATGCAGCAACTATGAGTCACGGCGAGCCGTGCCCTTCTCGCGGCATGACGACAATTTTGCCCGCCGGATTTCTACAATGATTCTCGAATCATTCGGATTTTGATTATTTTCGCCCGACTGAATCAGCCTGGCTATTTTTTATTTATTGCCCTGCCACTATAGTATAATTTTCGGAATTCCTGTGCGATTAAAATATTTGCATGCCATATTTATCTCAAGATATTCTCCTCAATTAGCTATAATAAACTGACTGTAATTTATTTATAACCAGCAATTAGCAGTTTTTGTATATTAAATATTAATAAAACATTTTTTAATATATGACAATTTTTCAATTAGTGATGATGACAGAATTTAGTATCTTATTTAAAGTACATCGAAACAAAATAAACGATTATGATTTCCGGAATTTTTATAGAAGTGAAAGTTTTATAAAGCGCATAAATACTTTCTTGTTAAAATATCAAAATTTAAATATTCTTATTTGTCACGTACTTTCGAAATTGTGCAAAGAACTCTATTCAATTCTAAACATTACGGTAATCTCGTACCGCTTGCTCGTATTATTATTTAACAATGTTATAATAGAGGATATTTTCGAATCTCGGAATTAAAGGCTCACTGCGCGCGCTCGCGCGAATTGCATCTACATTCCACCTCTTACGCAACTCTATTACACCTCCGCAATTTCTTCTTTCGTCGTCTTTCTAACCGCCTACAGAAAGAGACGTTATTCAACATAAGAAAGTGTTAAAGAGGACATACAGCACGGGCGAAATCGCCAATTATTATTTAAATTGACAATAGCTGACAATTGACAATGGCTAATGGAATGTCATGAGATATGTATCGAGAGTCGACACACTTTCGATTCGTTTGGACTTTGGATACACACAGAGGCATAAAAGTGATCGCAAATCTTTGAATACAATTATTTTCAAACAAAAATAATTTACAAGCTAAAATTTTATTTTCTATTTTTATCGAGCATAAAAAAAAGATTTATTTCGTCGAGAAAAGTATGGAAAGAGTCTTTACATTCGAATCCTTTTCTCCAGTCTTCTCTGCGTGTATAGCGGGAACTGGAATTATCGAAATTAGATCGGTTCCAATGCTTGCTCGAGAGAAAGACAGGAGGAATG